GTGAGTGTGGTACGTGTTGTTAGAGTGTGTGTCACTGTTAGTGTGGGGTGAGTGTGGTATGTGTTGTTAGAACGTGTGTTGGTGTTAGTTTGCAATGAGTGTGGTAAGTGTTAGGATAGATGTAAGAATTCTTCCTTCTGTAGGCCTGGTTTCCTAAATTGGCCACTTTTTTCTTCTGTTAATTTCCTGCAGATAAAACATTTTCAAAATAAAAATCGATGCTATTCATGTTAATTTATAGCTATCAAACCTGACAGATTATCTGACACCCTAACTTTTGAAGTATATATTGTAATCACTGTTGCTAAGGAAAAGTAAGTTATCATCACTGATTACTCTGTCACTGGAATCTTTGTAATATTTTGACTGAATTTGCTGTTTTGACATCCAAACTTGAAAGACAAGGAAATCCTCACTTTTCCATAGTGCACCAGAGGGCGCTGTATTCCAGTTCTTCCTAAGAAAGAATTCTTGGTCCAAAGTTTGCTTGTTGGTTAAGCAGATAGGAAAATACTAAGCAGAAGACAACAGTCTATATCTCCCTTGGGGAAGCACTCCATCCAGGTAATGAGTCTGGTTTTTCAAACAATATCCATATCTAACTTACTTGCCTTCTAAATAACCATCCATTGCCTTGTTAAATATTGTAAAGCACCTTTTCAAATTTCCTTTAGAGCTGATATGCCATGTCTTTTTATGTGGCCTCCGTGGAAACACAGGCCACAAACCTATGGTTTGCAAGCAAATTTAATCTCTGGAAACACCCTGAGATTATTTGGTACCAAGGGGATATTTAAGGGAGATAATCAAATCAGACAGTGCTGGGTAGTTTTTTTGTGTTTGTTTTTTACCAAAAGAAAAATTCTTAACTTGCTAGTCTTATGTGAAATGTCTTAACACAGTAGAGAATAGTATCTGACTGGATATGAGAAAGTGCTGATTGTGTGACATAGTCTCAGCTATCTGAGAATCGTCACTAATTTCTCTATCCCGGACACCCACATGCAAGTCCTGTTGCCTCTGTAACATATTATTCAGAACAATAAATGCCTATGAAATCACCTCCAAACTACAAACCTACAGCATTGGTAGTAACCCTTCTCTGGGGTCCTGCTCCTTCCCGTCATGAGTTTTCTTGCTTTACTTTTTATGTAATTTGTTACATATATATGTGTTCTTAAAAATTGTGTTTTGATTTGGATTGTTTTGACTTTATAAAAAGTATGCTTTATGTGACCTTTTGGACTTCTGTTAAAATTATGTTGCTATGATTCATCCATTTGCTTCTGTCTGGCTGAGGGCCATTTATTTTACATCTGGCTGCTGTATAATATTCCACTCTATAACTTTAACACAGCGTGTTTCTCCATTTCACTGTTGAAGAGCATTTGGGTTGTACTAGGTTTTGCCATGACAGATAGTGATGTCATTAACATTCTTATCTGTGTGTCCTGGTGTACAAGTACAGCTTTCTCTCTAATAAAGTTCAGTGAACTGTATTTCCCGGTAACATAGCTACACGAAAGAATGGAGTCTTTCACTAAAGTTGCTTCAAAACTCCAAAAGAATTTGAGCAAAAATTTGTGAAGTGAGTTTCCAGAGTGATTAATTCAACTTATTTCTTATTTTAGTCTGACTGATAAAACCTAGGGAGCCAGAATTATTTCTGGTCCTTCGGACATTGTATGGTCTTGTTTCCTCTTACTACCTGTTGCCAACATGACTCAGGTAGAATAAGATACAGATAGACAATGATGTGTAGAAATAAGTAGTATAAAATACGTCTGGCTCCAGGAGACCAACTGACCCACACTCATAAGATAGTTCAGAGAAAGGTAGACCTCTTTCTCATTCTAGTACTTCCTATAATGCAGCCTCGCTGAAATCTAGAATATATTTTCTTACACTGCCATCATTCATTACCTAGGAAATCTATTATTCTTATATAGCATGGGAAAGTATAGGTAGGAAGACCAGAAAATCCTTTCTTATCCATGAAAGTGGTTCACCCTCCATCCTATTTGACAAACCTAAGGAGTTTGTGAAAGATCTTCACCTACCTTAACTCAAAAGAAGCCTCCCATTTCTTCAACAATTATTTATGACTTATTTACCATTTCTAGTATTATAAACCACTCTTCATCCTTGTACCATAGAAATACCTTCAGGCTTTGGTTTCTGAGCAGAAAGATAGCTGTTTACTAGTTTTAGAGGTGACAAAAAAGCAGCCTGGTCCAGCTTGAATCCACTCATTTATTTATCCTAGGTCTTCAGGACTAAAAAATTAAAAAAAAAAGAAATCCCAGATCTCATAGGTGACTGAAAAAATCAGCCCCAAGAAGTTTTTTCATACCCAGACATCAAAGACACAATGAATTGAAAGGAAAATGCTGTTTTATTTCTTTATCATGTTTCTATTTGAACACAAATTTCTTGAAAAGCGGAATATGCAACCAGATTTTTAAGAAGACTTTCTACTTAGAAGCTGTCATTTGTCTTCCACTCACAGGTATGCAGTGGGGTCACTTAAGTCACAGTTTTCGATGTGTACATGCGATTGTATGCCAGGGTAAACTTTCTGCAAAGGCAACAGAGTTCCCAACTTTTCTCCCTTCTTGATAGCGCCTTTATACTTAATGGGCTTAATGTAGAAAATTTTGATACAGAAACCTAAAAGAAAATAAGTATAATTATTTGTTATCTGGACTTCAGTAGCTTTAAATCAGAAAAAAAAAATTTTTTTTAGACAGTTTCACTTTGTCACCCTTCAGTAGAGTGCTCTGGTGTCATAGCTCACAGCAATCTCAAACTCCTGGGCTCAACTGATCCCCTTGTCTCAGCCTCCCATGTAGCTGGGACTACAACTGCCTGCCACAGTACCTGGCTATTTTTTTTTTTTTTCAGTTTTGGCCGGGGCTGGGTTTGAACCCGCCACCTGTAGCATATGGGACTGGTGCCCTATTCCTTTGAGCCACAGGCACCACCCAAGGCCCGGTTGTTTTTAGAGACAGGGTCTCACTGTTGCTCAGGCTGGTCTCGAACCTGTGAGCTCAGGCAATCTACCTGTCTCAGCCTCCCAAAGTGCTGGGATTATAGGCGTGAGCCACTGTGCCCGGCCTACATCAGAAAAATTTTAAAATAATAGAAAAGGACCAAAGGCAAAAAGAGAGTTGTATCAACACAGGAGAGAGATGGAAGAAAATTACAGAATCTTATTAAAAAGGAGAATTGTGTTACGATATGCCAAGGGGAGAATAGATTCCTATGAAAATTTAATGAAAGCCTTGAGGAACAATAGCAGTACAACACTAGGCGGTTGGGAGCATTGACCCAGAGTTAGGTCAACTTCAAGACATACGGTAATAAAACTATATACTTTATTATTTATTTTAAATATCAGATTAATGGCGGGGTACAAACAAATGATTAGGTTACAATGTTTCCATTTGTTAGGTGAAGTCTGTGCTGCAGTGTGTCCTGCACCCAGGAGGTGTGCCGTTTACACTTACATCATGCCCGTTAAGTGGCAGCTCACCAATCCCCCTCCCACCCCCTCTCTCCCCTCCTCCCCAAAGTATAGACTTTAAAGATGAAAAATGGAAATAACTGGAACAAACATACAAACCTCCCTAAATATTAACAAAACTGAAAACACAAAAATACCCACCAAGCAGAGGAAAGGAGAGTTAGTGTAGGGTAGTTACTGTAATATGACAGTGTTGGAACCACATATATGAAGGAAGACTATAAATGTGAATGGCCACAACTTGTCTATTCAAAGGTTTTCCTGGTGAGTTGAAAAGCAAACCCAATTTTACTCAGTATGGAATAAAACTCAGTGAAAGAAAAGGCTAAAAATAAAGACTTGGACAGGGATTTGTCAAACAAATGGAAGCAATAAGAAAGCAAGACGGTGTTCCTGTCACCAGATGGTGGAATTCAGGCCAAAAGGCACTGAGACCAGACAGAGGAATTCAATATATTATCAGAAATGGCACAATTCACAAGGAAGCTATAACAGCAGCTATCCATGCACTAAAGAACACAGACACCACGTATATAGAGCAGAAACTACAGGAAAGGCAAGAAGAAATGGATAGAAACCCACGAATAATAGACTTTAACATACTACTTTTAAGCAGTGCAAGTGGGCAAAAAAACCCAAAAGGCCATAGACTTGTGTTGTCCAATGTTGTTGCCACGAGCCACTGGCTATTCAGTGCTTGAAATGTAGCTAATCCGAATTGAGATACACTTTAATGGTAAAATAGGTAATGGATTTTGAAGGCTAAGTATTTTAAAATGTAAAATATCTCAATATTTGTATTAATTACATACTGAAAAATACTTTGAAGATACTAAAATTAATTCCACATGTTTCTTTTTACGTCTTTAATATGGCTACTAGAAAATTTAAAGTTAAATATGTGGCTTGTATTAATATATTTCTGTTGGATAATACTGCTATAGAATATCTAAACAATGTTTATCAGGTATATTTTATGGATATGTATTAAAAAAGATGTGTAAGACCCCCACACTGAAAACTAATGCAACAGCTACTAATATAACAAGGAAGAAGATGCTGTTAAACAGAGGATGTAACATGGTCACCGACAGAAAGAGTCACTACTTTAAAGATACCAGTTCTTCTCAGTTTGAGCTAGATAATGAATGCAAACCAAATCAAACACCCAGCAGGATTTTTGGTGATACTTGGCAAACTGATTCTCGTTTACTTGGAAGTACAAATGGCCAAGAGTTGCCAAGACAATCTGAAGGAAGAATAAAGAAAAACCTACACTACCAGATAGCAAGTTATATCTTAAAACTATTGTAACTAAGGGCGGTATTCCTGCAAGAATGGAAGACTGATGGGGCTCGGTAAAGAGAACAGAAACAGACCCCCATGCACACACTGTCACAGATGGAAACAAATGAAGCCCTCTCAGCCACACTGGTAAGTTGAGCAAGTTGAAACTTGCCCAGTCCTTGTTTGTGAAAAACAGACGCCACAGTGCAGTAGAGGAGTCTTGTTCCAGTGATGGTGCTGAGTCAATTAGCAATCATATAGGAAAAAAATCTTCATCTGTATATCTCATTACTTACACAAAAGCCAATTTTAGACGGATTATAGATCTAAATATAAAGTGCGAAACAAAGCTCGTAAAAGAAAACTGAAGAATATCTTTGCATCTTCGGGGTTGGTGAATATGTCTTAACCAGTTGAAAAAAAATGTGTTCACAATAAAGGAGATTATTACTAAATTCAACTACGTTAAACACTAATATTGGCTCTTTATTACAAGACAACATTACATACTTGCTGCAGCAGTGCATATGCTAAAATTAGAATGATTCAAAGATTAGCATGACCCTTGCACGAGGATGACACGTTTATGAAATGTTCCATTAAAAAAAAAGATAACTAAGGAAGTGAAAAGACAACTTAGAAAGTGGGAGAAGATATTTTATATAGAGATGTAGCTGACAAAGGACTCATCTGGAATATACAAAGAACTATCTATAAATAAGAAAAAGACAATCTAATAGAAAAATGGGCAAAAATATTTCAATAGGCCCTTCACCAAAGACAATATCCATGTTATCAATCTATATGCTAGTTTTATTAACTACCAGGGAAATGCAAATTAAATTCTCTGTACTCTCATTAGAATAGCTGAAATGAAAACATAAATAGATAATAGTAAATATGGAACAACCATAACTTTCATATGCTGCTGGCAGGAGTGTAAATCGATACAACTACTTTGGAAAACTGTGGCATTTACCCACTAAAGCTAAAGATACAGCTATACTCTTTGACCTAGCAATTCCACTCCTGCAGTATTCTGCCAATAGTTGAGTGTAGTGATTCCAATTATGCATGCTGGAACTGGGGAAATAACCACAGGATAGATTTGGGGATGCAGTGGGCCCACTGTAAGATGAACTCTAGTGAAAAACTATGCTGACTGCTCCCTCCCACCCCCAACCCTATAAGTCCTAGTCTGACTGATGAACCACAGTGGCCTTTTAGATCTTGAGGTATTGGTGTCATTTTGGAGCAAGTGTCCAATCATCTCCAGAAGGCTTAGTTATTTCTTCTTCCCAGTGTACAACCACCCTGCTAACTGGCTGCAGATCCCTTTGAGGATGGCCAGAGGTAAGGGTTGCAGGGTAAGTTTTTGTCTATGTGGCAGGGCCCTTCCTTAAAGGGACTGAGCTACCTTTTCATTCAAGGCCTTGGACTGTGGCTGAAGCTTGAGAATTTACCCATTCTTGTGATGACTGAAGTCAGAATTTTGTTCATCAGACCTAGAATTTTTCCCTTTATATAAATCAAACAAAGTCTAGTTGATTGTTCTATTCAGTTTTGGGGTCACCATGACTGACTAGCCAATGTCACAAATCTCTGAGTTTCAGATGACTCTGATTACTGCTTCAGCTCTGCTACAATTAGGTGTCTGTGGTGACATTGCCCTGGGTTACTAAGTGCCATCACTTTAGAGGACCCAGCTCAATGGCAGCAGTTTCTCTTGTCACTTTGGGCTTACAGAAGACAGTCACCACAGAGCTCCTCAGAGATGCAGGTGGGGGGGGGCACGTGTCCTGTGGGCTCATTCCCAATAAGAATGTATAAAGTATAAACAAGAAAATTCCTAGTAGCATTTTCATAATCACCTAAAAATGTTCCTTTAAAGAATAAAGGATAAATAGATGAAAGCATATGCATGTAATGAAACACTATGTCACAGATGGAAACAGATGAAGCCCTTCCAGCCACACTGATAAGCTGAGCAAGTTGAAACGTGCCCGGATAAATCAGATAGGACGCTGTCAACTGTGTTTCTTGGAAGTGAAATAATAGACTATAGCACAGTCTGTCTCAAAACTTTCATAGTGACCTATTTACATCAAAAAGAATGCACGTGTAAGCAAAACATGAATAAATACCACAGCCATTATGTGGAATGAAAGAAGCCTCACACAAAGCATGCATGCTCTTTAATTCTATTTATATCTTTTTTTTTTTTTTTTTTTGCAGTTTTTGGCCAGATCTGGGCTTGAACCCACCACCTCCAGCATACGGGGTCAGCACCCTACTCCTTTGAGCCACAGATGCCGCCCTCTATTTATACTTTTTTAATCAATAAAAACAGGCAAAAGTAGTGTATGATGTTAGAAGTTGGGACAGTGATTACTCCTACTGGGAATAATTTACTGACGGGTTGCACGGGGCTCTGTGGGATGCAGGTGATGTTGTTTGTCCTGATGTGGGTGCTAGTTACACAGGTGTATTCACCTTGTGAAAATTCATGGAGCTGTACATTTACGTGCTGTGCGCTTCTCTCTCCCTGTGATACTTCAATAGCATCAAAACAACTGAACAACAGACCTGATATCTGCAGAACCAGGACACTTCGCTTTACCTAGAACATAGAAGCTGATGAAAATGGTTCACGTTCAACTCTTGCAGAAACGCCAACATTGATGATTTGTAGCATTTGGGTGAGTGAAAGTATCCATTATGGTTATTTTTGCTGAAACTGTTTTTGTTTATAGATTGTTAAGCAAAACCACATGGACCAAGGGAGGAGCACCTTCAGTCAGCGATGGAGTTTAGTGGCATGTGTGCACCAAGCAGCATTTGTCAGTGAACGAGGTGGAACATCTTTGAAAATGCGTTAGCTACGTTGATCAACTCTATATCCTTTATGTTCTAGATTTATCATTTTGAAAGTACAAAACTTCTATGTATGGAAACTGCATTAAATAAACAGCAACATCTCTGGTGGCTGACTTGGGCTTAGTTTCCACCTCTCTTACCTCTTCCAGACATTCGAACGCCATTATTGATAGCATTTTTGTTTTTGTAAGGTTTCTCCTGGCCCATAATTATTCCAGAAAACGGTGCATACACAGCAGATCCGGCGGGGCACAAGACATCCACGCCCTGGTGAGTCCTTTGATTTCTAGGATGTAAATAAGAATGAATAGGTTGAGGAGCTGCCCTGAAACTTTCCCTGCCCAGGAACACGGTTTTAGCCCAGTGTTCACAGACTAGGGTACCAAAGCTTAAAGCTGCCAGAACATACTGGGGTATCCCAGGATTCCTCAGGCTTTTTAGCCCACCTTCCTCCCTGCAGGTCGCAATAACCGTGTTGTAAATATTAAAGTATTTAAAATAGTACTTGGTGCATAGTAAGCCTTAAACAAATATTAGCTAATATTATCATATGGAATTTGGGGAAATGAGGCAGTCCATGTAAATTAATGTTATGATCAGCGGTTCTCAACCCACAGGTGCATCGCGACCCACAGAAACTGTATTAAGGGCCACAGCATTAGAAAGGTTGAGAACCACTGTTATAGATGATCTGAATCTTGACTTCTTCAAGACCATTTTGAAAAGAGTTGTCTTTTTATGGGAACCTATCATAAAAGTATAGTTACCCTATTCTTATTTTTCTCTCAGTGAGCTAGAAAAGTGATGATAAACATCATTTACTGTATATGGAATTTTAATACAGTGAGTGATACTTCCTGGGTTTACTAATGCGTATGGAGCACAGACAAATGATACTGGGTGGAAAGGTTTCTTGAGTTTGTCTCTAACAATCCTCAGTTCTTGCTCTGCTCTGCTGTCTCTCGCCTGCCCTTCCCAGGGTCTCCTCCCTTCTAGTAGGGAGATTTGCCAGGATTATTAGAATTATGTGTAAAGCAACATTGAACAGGTTCCAAGTGAAGAGCCGAGAAATTACTGTAGAAGCCAAGTGCTTAAACGATAGGGTATGAGCTAATTGAGTCTAATTTGGGCAAGCCAGAAGACGTTTTTCTGTCTTTCTTGTCTGTTAGTCCTGTTTCAGGTGGTAGAGGTTGCTTTCTGAGTAGAATCTGTACATGTGAGAGTTCCCACCTAATGAGGAGGGAAGCAGTGGTACAGCTGGACACATGGCTATTTCATCAAAGAGCAGCACGCACAGGGTAGTGCTGTGTATTCTTGAAATTTTACAAGTGTCACCCTCATTGTCTGGAAGAGGTGGACAAGCTCTTCTTGTCAGTCTCAACTATTCAACTTCCGTAGCCTAGGTCAGTAACACCCTGGTTTGGTGGGAAGAAAGTCCCAAAGCCTGAATTCAAGTCCAGCCTTCCCCATCTCCAGTCATGGTTGACAGGCAGTTCCCTTAACACTTTGGTGCCTCAATTCAGGTTCCTCGTCTGTAAAATTGGATAGTAGTGTTTGATTCACCTTTGGAAACACCAGGTGAGCAAAGTCAAGGTGTGAAGACATTGGGAGGAAAAACATTGTGTTTGTTCCCTTCTTTTCCCTTAGTCCGTGCTCTGATCCCAATTCAGAGGCCAAAGCAGAGTTGTTAGAAATTGTTCCAAAGACAGTGATGACACTGGCTACATCTCTGGGTTTTCATGCTGTCAGAGGGGAGCTAATCGTAATCCCTTGAGGAATTGTTGGGCAAGGACACTAAGCTAAGAGCCTAGGAGTCACAGTGTTTGTTTTTGTGAACCCCCATACCTTTGAGCAGAGTACTGTCCACAGCCATGGCTGTCACACGTCCGGATCTCGTTGAAAGACTTGCCAGCACATATATTAGCCCATGGCCCAGCCAGTGCTAAAAGGGAGAGACACAAGAGCAGAGCTGCTGGCCTCAGATATTTCCAGTCTCCCAGTCTTAATAAGTCTCCCAGTGGATCCTGAAAATTCTGTTTTCACTGACGTTTTCCCCTTTCTGTAGTTTACAGGAAGACCCTCCCTACAGAATGTTACATTCTAACTCAGATGTAAAAGTAACTATCCATGGCCACCAAATTCTGTTTTATTACATACAGATGGTTGGTAAATGTTTGTTTATAGGCACTAACTTCCATCATTATAAATGGTGTAAATTGCGCTTTTCAAATTTTTCCTTGCTTGTTATGTGGCACAGGAGCCACTGCGTTTAGGATCAACAAAAATAATCAAATAGCATGACTGAAAGAAATAATTTTAGAAATTCTAAAGTAACTTTGAAATGTTGATTTTTGTTTACTAATCAAATCCAAGTAAATATTTGAATTAAAGAGAAACAGACTCTGAATGGGCCCAGTTTATTTACTGCTAAATAAATCTCTTTCTTATTTGCAAGCATGGAAGAGATTCTAAGAAATAATGTAAAATGTCAAACAGATTTAGCTTGGAGTGAGGTGAGGAGGGAAGGCGGGTCAGGGAGTAGAAACAATTACATGAAAACTTGTAAAACCTGGTGGAGGACTTGGCTCTCTGTGTACTTAATGCAAACTTCACATTAGGCATAACTTGGGTCTTTAATGTAATAGCAAGCAGATGATAAATGTTCAACCAAATTACATTTCCTGAATTTCCAATGTTAGCATTTACAGAGAGATATAGTTAGGAAACTCAAGTTTGAAACAAACAAAAACAAGAGCCTGCTAATTTGAGCATTGATTTTATTTACAGACTTTTTACTCTTCACTAATATATGTGCTGTGAAGAGAAGCTACAGAACATGGCCATTCAGTGTATTTCTTAATATGCTTTTAAAAGATGGGTTTCAAAAGTCTTATGCCTTGGAGCAAAGCTTCAAGTCAACACTGCAATCAAGATATAATACTATCACTTTGGCAACTAGTATTTGTCCTGGGGAATTGAGATATGTATCAGCCAACTTCTTAATTTATTAACTTTTCTCTTCTGCTGTATTAAGGGAGCATTGGGGCATTCCCTTTGTCCAAATCCATACGAGTCTCTGAATCAGGAATTTCCGAAATCAATTTTCTATGCAAACTTTTTACTTCCTGATTTTGTTTCAGTGAAATCCCAGCCCAACACCAAAAGGCTTTTCTTCAAGTCTTCCCATTCCACTTTTATGTTTCTTTCCGTAAAGAAGCAGAACATTCAGGTGGGAATGATTTAGAATCCCCTCCACCCCAACCCCACTGCCATGCATCTTCCCGGTCCCATTTCTAATAACCAAATACACAAGTCCCTGTTGATTGTGCTGTTACTGACTTTAAAATCTACCCCTCACATCCGTTTTTAAAAGTGAGCTAAGATTCTAAAATTGTACTTCTGACTTACCCGTAGAAGTCACCACAGCCAAAAGGAGGACTCTCGTGGGAACCATCTGGGTTTTGCTTCCCTTGGGCTTCTTCCTGTAATGGGAATGGCCCCCCACACTCCCTCTGAAGAATTTGCAACTTTGAGTGAGTATTTTCTAGCTATTTAGCCTCAGAATTCTGCACCTCTCATTTTTTTAGTGTGAGACACAAAAATGTTAGAGAATGGAGCAAGTCATAGTCTAAACCTTCATGGATAGCTGTCGGATATGCCCGTAGGACCTATGTGAAAGCCTTTGATCTGAAGAAGCAGTGAGTTTTATTGGAAACACTGACTAAATATTAACAGAAAATGACACAGCTGGGTGCAGATTGACAGCCTTTCTGGACGGTGGCTGGCAGGAAAATGTTCCTGTGAATAATGGAATACTGACTGCTATCTTTCAGCAGATCTTTCATTTCCTGCGTAGCACATATTTCAGAGGAGCATTGATCATTATTAATCCATGACCCTCCGTAACAGACGTTAGTGTATTCCTTAGGTGTTTTTGGATTGTCAGTCCAATTGTATTTCGTCTGTGTAATATTTGGAAGTAACTGATATTTTGATAAAATTATATTTGTTTACTCTAAATATGCTATTTTAAATGTATTCTTGGCTGGGGTCCTGTAGCTCAGGGGTTAGGGCACTGGCCACATGCTCTGGGGCTGGTGGGTTCAAACCCAGCCTGGGCCTGCTAAACAAACAAACAAAAAATAGCCTGGCATTGTGGAGGGCACCTATAGTCCCAGCTACTGGGGAGGCTGAGGCAAGAGAATCTGTTGAGCCCAAGAGTTTGAGGTCACTGTGAGCTGTGACACCATGGCATTCTACTGAGGGTGACAAAGTGAGACTCTGCCTCAATAAAAAAAAAAGTGTTTTTCAGGTGATACCTGTGGCTCAAAGGAGTAGGGCACTGGCTCCATATACTGGAAGTGGTGGGTTCAAACCCAGCCCTGGCCAAAAACTGCCAAAAAAAAAAGTGTTTTCTTGTTTGTAATAATGGAAAATTAACAACATCCAATGCATCCATCCATAATGGAAAAGACAGATGAATTATGCGTAATGGTTTAAATGAACACAATTCATGACAAACCTCCACATATACTGCAAAATATAAAAGCTACTTTTACAATGATATATAGACTTATCCCATTTATTTAAATCTTGAAAAAGTATATTATCATCATGAATGCTGCATGTGTGTATAGTAAAAACGCAAAAATACATACAGACCAACTTTAGGAGACTAGTTACCTCTGGAGAGTGAGAGGAGTAGAACTGTGTGGGGACATACAGAGTACTTAACTCAAAAACATTTAGTTTCTAGAAAAAAGATCAGAAGCAAATATGGAAAAATGTTAATTTGTTAATTATTAGAGATAGATACACGGATGTTATGTTACTCTGTACTTTTCCGTAGACTTAAATTTTCCATGTTTCAAATATGTATTAGCAGCTCCTTTTTATGCTTAATATTGTGATGCGGGCTTGGAATTTTCTATGGAAGCAAACCTATTTAAATAATCTGTCAGTACCTGCAGGAGATCGGGACTGTGGTCCCAGTCCTTCTCTCTGTCTGCATCCACTCCTTTGCCATGTCTCTTCGGAGGCAGAAGGACTTTCTCCACCCTTGGTTTTGGATTTAGTTATGTGACTTCAACCAATGACACAAGCCAGAGGTAACAAGCCTGTGAGTAAAGCCTGGGCCTTCGAGGGCCTGTGTCTCTGCACCCACCTCCTTGTGTTCTGCCATCACATTAGAGCACATTCCGACACTAACCTTCTGTCCTAGGAGTGAATGAAAGTCTCGTGGAGCACAGTTACTCCAGCCAAACTAGCCTGGCACACCCTCTAAACGTGTGGGCAGTAACTGGCCATCATGGAAGACACCGAGTTTGGGGATGCATGTTACTGAATAGTAACAGACAATGGCAATTAATAGCTTGTAGACCACTTTTTACTTCACACACAACTTTTCAAGAGGCCTCTAATGTGCAAAGTGCAGAACGTCAGTGCATTGAATATATCACAGAATTCTTTTTCTGGAATGAGGATCGGAGCTGTCATTGTACACAGTCTGACAATTAAGTTCATGGACTTGCCACTGTGCACTTATGTTCCCACTTCTTTTTTGTTGTTTTTTTTTTTTGCTGTTTTTAAAAAAAAATTTTAATTAAATCATAGCTGTGTACATGAATGCAATTATGGGGTACAATGTGCTGGTTTTATATACAATTTAAAATACTTTCATCAAACTGGTTAACATAGCCTTCACCTCATTTTCTTAGTTATTCTGTTAAGACATTTATATTCTACACTTAAAAGATTTAACATGTATCCTGGTAAAATGCACCATAGGTATAGTCCCACCAATTACCCTCCCTCCCCCCATCCTCTCTCCTCTCTTCCCTTCTCCCTCCTCTTTCCCCTTCATCTTGGGCTGTAGTTGGGTTATAGCTTTGATATAGAAGTGTGGATGTTTATAAATTGGTTTCATAGTAGTGCTGACTACATTGGATGTGTTTTCTTCCATTCTTGAGATACTTTGTTAAGAAGAATATGTTTCAGCTCCATCCATATAAACATGTAAGAGGTAAAGTCTCCGTCTTTTTTAAGGCTGTATAATATTCCATAGTGTACATATACCACAATTTATTGATCCATTCATGGGTCAATGGGCACTTGGTCTTCTTCCATGACTTAGCAATTATGAACTGGGCTGCAATAAACATTCTGGTGCAAATATCTTTGTTATAAAGGGATTTTTGGTCTTCTGGATATATACCTAGTAGAGGAATTGAAGGATGGAATGGCAGGTCTATTTTTAGACCACTGAGTGATCTCCAAACTTCTTTCTGAAAGGAACATGTTAGTTTGCATTCCCACCAACAGTGCAGAAGTGTTCCCTTTTCTCCATATCCACACCAACATCTATGGTTATGCAATTTTGTGATGTGGGCTAATTTTACTGGAGTTAGATGATATCTCAAAGTGGTTTTGATTTGCATTTCTCTGATGATTAAGGATGATGAGCATTTTTTTTATGTGTCTATAGGCTGAGGACCTGTCTTCTTCAGAGAAGTTTCTATTCAAGTCCCTTGCCCATACTGAGATGGGATCACTTGTTCTTCTCTTACTAATACATTTGAGTTCTCTGTGGATTCTGGTTATTAAACATTTGTCAGAGACATAACCTGCAAATATCTTCTCCCATTCTCAGGGCTGTCTGCTTGCTTTACATACTGTGTTTTTGACTGTGCAGAAGCTTTTTAGTTTGATCAGATCCCAGTAGTGTATTTTTGGTGTTGCTTCAATTGCCCAGGGGGTCCTCCTCATAAAATATTCTCCCTGGCTGATTTCTTCAAGTATGTTGTACTTTCTTTTAATATTTTTATAGTTTCATGTCTTAAGTTTAAATCTTTTATCCAGTGAGAGTCTATCTTTGTTAATGGTGAAAGGTGTGGGCCCAGTTTTAATCTTCTACAGGTCACCAGCCAGTTTACCCAGCATCATTTGTTAAATAGGGAGTCTTTTCCCCACTGAATGTTTTTGATTGGCTTATCAAAGATCAAATAATGGTAAGTATCTGGGTTCATCTCTTGGTTCTCTATTCTGTTCTATACATCTACTTCTCTGTTTTTGTGCCAGTACCATGCTGTTTTGATCACTATCAATTTATAGTATAGTCAAATCTTCTTGCTTTGTTGTTGTAGATGGCCTCTATCAGTTTAAGAAATGTCCTTCTATACCTATTTTCTTAAGTGTTCTGATCAAAAATATGGACCACTTCACGAATTTGCAGGTCTTCCTTGCTCAGGGGCCATGCTAATCTTCTCTGTATTGTTCCAGTTTTAGTATATGTGCTGCCGAGGCAAGCACATGTTGACACTTCTGTATAGACAACCCAGAAAAGTTTCATAACCTTGGCATATATGTGCGTCTCACAGCTGTGTTCATGTTGATACGTGGGGTGTCTTGCTGATTGGTGTTCATTATTGTGGCGTGGTTTTCTGCACTGTATGACAACAGCCATCAGAAATAGAGTTCCAAAATTGCCTTGAAGTGTGGATTAGGTGCTGGTGCCAGTGCTCAGCTTCCCGAGGGGAATACTTCAAAGGTGACTATAGTGATATTCATCAATGATCAGTTTATGAACTTAATTGTCAGACCTGTCAGATGAGGGACTTATTTATCTTATATACAGAGAATTCTTAAGAAATAAGAGATGTAAACAAACTCATTGAAAAATGGGCAGAAGATAGCAACAGGGCTTCACAAAAGAAGAAATATCAATTAAACATTTATAAACATTTGAAAGTATGTTCTACTTCCACTTATAATTAGCAATTGTAAACCATTGCTAATGGTACAATTTTTCACCTATCAAATTTGCAAAGTTAAGGGTATGTGGAGACAGGAACATTTATTGAAAGTATAAATTGTTGTAACCTCTTTAAAGAGCAATTTTGCAATACCTTTCAAATTTTTAAATGTATGAGACCTTTGCTCCAGCGTTCTTTTGCTTTTCTACCTGTGGCCTGCTTTCCTCCCTCGTGGTTTTTCCTGCCTTCAGTGTGAGTTATTTCCAACGCATTGTCCTCTCTAAAGCCAGTGCAATCCTTGGACTGCAGAGTAGATGGCAAGATACTGTTTTCAAACCCCTGGTGAAACAGGATGGGGGCAAGAGTCATCAGTGATGAAAAGCTGATGAAGAACTTACAGTGGATAACTCAGGCTGACAACACCTAATCAATCTTATCATTAGGGAAAAGAGAGAGAGAGAGGAGACACAGCCAGACAGCCTCCTGATGGAAATGAACACCACTTCCTATGAAGTATTCTTGTCAAAAAATCACATGTAAGTTTCATGAAGCCTTAACTCTTACATACCAGTTCACAGGAACCACACAATGAAAGGAAGCAAGTTAAATGATACCACAGAAAGGCAGTTAGCCAAACGTGGACTGTGAGAAGTTCTACCAGAAAGAACAACAACCAAAAATCTGAGGAAGGGAAAAGGAGAGAGGTATAAATCTGTGGATCAAAGAGATTTACAAGATTTATCAACAAAATGCATTGCATTGACCTTATTTGGAACCTGATTCAAAGAGAGAGAAAATAGGGAAAATTTTAGTACTACTTATTTCAATACTATTTGATAATATTGAGAATTATTTATGCTTTTAAGCATAGTTTTTGAAAATAGTGCTTATCTTTTAGAAATACATACTAAAACTTTAATGA